GCTATGGCTCCGGGCTGGTCAACCATTATTTGATCAGCAGGCTCATCCGACATATTGGCGGTGAAGCCGGTGTCCCGCTCGGCGTCAGTATCATGGTCCATCTCGACATCATCTTGACTGGTAGCAGACGCTTCTAAAGACCAGGGTTAAAGCATGTTATCGCAAAGCACAAAATCACTTACCAGTATCCGCAGTATCCTCAGATTCCACGATAGGAGTTGGCGGACGTGCACGAGAGGTCGCTCTAGTGGTCTGGGATTTAGCCTTCAACTTGGACGCTGGTGCGGCCTTTGACCGAGGGTGTGATGTTGGTGCCTGCGTTGTTGAGGGACGCCGGGTATCGACCGACACCGGTCGGTTGCACCGCACCTTCATGAAGTGGCACTTGGCGCAGGACTTGATGGCTTGGCCCTTCCTGCCGACCACAACAAAACAAGGCTCCCCTATGCATCTCTTGCAAGGTAGAGCGTACTAAAAATAGTTAGTACTCTGCAACTGGCATGGACTTTCCCAACTCACTTCCTCAGCATCGGCCTTCAGTAGCCCACGACCTCTCACAGGCTTGGCGATATTCACAGCCTTCTCCTTGCCTTTGCCCTTTGGCTGGACTCGGCCAAGGTTGGCTTCGGCTTCCAGCTGAAGATTGGTGAGGTGGGAGGACAGAGAGGACACTGTAAATCTCACCTGCTTGACATTTTTAGTCATTCCCTGCAAAGGAGTCAGCAATGATATCGGCACCGAGATTATCACCATGCTTACCTTTGATTTTGGCGCCACTGCACCTGAAGATTCGATGATCTTGGGCCGCTAAGGTGATGTAAGCAGTCAGTTGGAAATGATGAGAGGAAGACATACCTGTTTCACTACAATGGTCCCTGTTGGCTGCCTGTCCTCGTCCTCGGTGTCGGAGATGATGGCCTTCGACAAACGCTTCAACACCTTTTGTTTCTTTCTGCCTGGCTCGGCATTTGGGCTGTCGTCACGGGATCTATGAGTGCCGCGGTGTCTTCTTAGATAGATGATCTATAGATAAACACCTATAAAAACAAATATCTCCACGGTCAGTGATTCAGACAAATACCAATGACTGATAACGTGGTCGTTCGTGGGTGGCTAGTTGTATACTACCCAAAGTACATTCAGCTAAAGATACTTCTGCAAGATCAGTAAATACGATGGTCAATCCAATCTATGGACTTGACAGAAACAAACAAACAAATAATGGTCAGCCCGACAGTATGGCAGTAACCAAAGAAATAGAAAGTTCTTCCTCAAGCTTCCTTTCAACAACAGTGCCTCTTACCAAACTGTACTCCAAAAAGAATGATGCGGAATTACAATGATCAACCCCCTCAGCACAAAACAGGTAGAATCAAAGGTCAAGACTAGTCAAATGCTTTATTGTAGAACTCTTAGCTCAATATTGAACCTGCTGTCAAGGAACTCACTTTGAGTATTCAAACAGACTCAGGAACGGACGTCCTTGGATTTACTACCAAGTCCCCTCTTCAACAGCTAAAGCCTAGCAGGCACAGAAAACCTTGGCTCAGTATCACTACTCAGATGAGTGAGGTCAAGCTTCACTATCAATCCCTTAAGTCTCCCCACTAAGCTACTCTGAGTCTTAGGTGGACATAGAGACAACACAAATATTTTGGAATATGCTTTTTGGAAAAAGAACACCAAAGGCTGGTGAAAGTAAAACAAAAGAGAAAAGAGAAAAGAAAAGAAAAAGAAAATAGAAATTTGAATAAAACTGTGGCTGTACCTTGCTTGCTGGTTGTTGCACACAGTGAGCTCGCAGCTAGTCGTTTAGTATGATGAGCTTGCAGTATTACTGTCTCTTGAGAATGTTCCTCTCAGTCTTGAACAGTTCTTGACACTGATGCTGACACTTATCACACCTTACTCACAACTTAATGTTAGATGAGCTGAAAACTCCCACTTGGTTTTCTTTTTCTTTCAAAACTGGGGTCATTATATACACAATAAATGTGGCTGTGCTACTAGTATATTCAAGAGTCATAATGAGTCATATATTCAGGGTGAGTCATAGTGAGTCATATATTCAGAGTGAGTCATAATGAGTCATTGGGTATTTTGCTAAGTCATCCTGGCTTGTTGCTAGTCATGTGACCTATCCAACTCCTGATGACAAGTCCAGAAAGAGAGTAAGAAATGTCACATGATGTGAATCCTTTGTGTGTCTGTCTTTTCTTTGCTTTGTTTGAAGGGTGAAAAATGATGCGAGCCTAGTATTTAGGGTTTTACGAATGTTTTTCCAGGACAACATATGTGGGAAATATTTTTCACAGTCACCTGACATGCGTGGGAGTTTTGTCTGGGTCATCACCATGGCTGACTAAGCAAAACTCATTGCCGAATTAAATGTACTAAAATATTCAGTCCGCTCGCATGCAAACTCGTAAAAACGAAAAATATTCCCTTAGCCTCAGTCTGACTTCAGATCATAGAGAAAATGATTTCATAGGGCATAGGGCTCATAGGAGAGTATCAGTCATCCATGCACCGAACCAGTTTGGTGCAGGTCAGTGGTCAGACCGTTTGCCCTTGTCGGTCATGGTGCCAGTCACGGTCAGATTGTGAGCACGACCGGCACGAGGGAGTGCATCGATCGGCGGAACTGACATCCGTTTGGGAGCTGGGGGTAGGACTGGGGAGAGTGCTGGTGCTGGTTCTGGTGCTGGTGCTGGTTCTGGTGCTGGTGCTGGTGCTGGTGCTGGTTGTACTATAAGAATAGTAAGTTGCCAGTGTGAATCCAAACAGGGCCGACTCACCATATCCAACAGTCTTTGGGAAGAAGGGATGGGACTCCATACGCGGATCATCAACTCGAGCACGATTCCATTGAGGAACGAGACCTTGATTCATGGTCGCACGGACCTCGGCGGCTGCAGAAAGAAGAAATGGCGAGATGACCGAGGACAACCTGCTGTGCTGTTGGAGGGCTCGAGACTGTTCATGGTGAGCAGGTACATAATAACTATAGTAAAGCAAAACACGCACCACCTGCCTCGCAATCTCATGAGCCTGATCAACGACTGTCCGGCCATCTGCTTCCCCACGTCCGATTAGGCTGACCAAATCGCGCACCGATATATCGGCGAGCGCCAAAGCATGGTCAGATTCTTGTTGTGATGGCATGGTAGAGAATTGAAATATAAGGGCGACGATGGCACAGGTGCAGATGCAACAAAAGAAGAAAAGGATGTGATGAGTATCGACCTACGAACGACTCTGTGTGGATGTTGAAGGAACTTGACAGAAGTTGATGCCACGCAAACCGTCACATTGTAATACCGCCGGGATCCGCTGAGACACGGAAATGGCCGAAGTGTGGTACCGGGCGTCGGACTTCTGCATTGTTTATTCACCTTACAGTTCAAGCCCTCCAAAGTTGTCAATGTATTCCCACGAGAATGCCACTGACAAAGCTTGCAGGATACAGGACGAGCGTATCAAAGCCGACTGGAACTTTTTCGTCACTTGGGACCAGTGGGTGCCACCGACGTTGTGTCCGATTCCAGCCACTCAAAACGTGCAGATCCCTGTGGGTAACCACAACATTCACATTTGACCTAACATTACAACTACATCTGGCCTGCCTCAAGTCATGAAATCCAACGTCTCAAGTATGCCATCCAGCCAGCCACATCCTGAAGGACTTCCCAAGAAACATTTTGGCGGCAAAGGTGTGTTTCCTGTTCTATCGACCATTTCTAATGGTTAAAAATATAAGTATTTGACATGTGCTGGAATACCGAGGCTGATCTAGTGCGGACGGTGAACACAACAACTGCAACATCATCGGCTGAACCACAATATGAAGGCCAAGGTACTTCCAGTGCTTTGAGCACGTTGCAGGCATCTGACCGAATAATCAGTGTTTGACGTGTGTTGGGACACCGAGGTCAATCTGGCGCCGATCGTTGTTGCGGACGCAGCCACACCGCCGGCAGCAGGTTCATATGACCTTTGTTGGGATAGCCAAGGAAGTCCACGGAAGATTAATTTGGCGCCAATCCAAGAGCTGGCAGCTACGAAGACTCACACCTTGGATGTCACCATGCCCCTGGCGGCCGATCAATATGATATGTGTTGGAATAATAGTCTGTCTGCGTCGGTGGACAGATACAGGGGCAAGTGTCGGTCATTACCACCGACCATTACTAACCATCATTCAGGCGATTTCGACATGTGCTGGGAAGATTCAACATCTGGCGGAGATGGTCACCTTGACAGTGGGTCCATCGCTGCACCAACCATCAACATGGTCAACTTAGGTTCGTCCAAATTGTGGATGAAATCACTCGTACTGACAATGACGTTTAGCGGGTGACACACCGGTATTATATGATCTGTGCTTTGACACATCCTTGCAGGCCACATCTCCAGGACCAAGGGATGACTCACCGAGTCATCCGGTCAACTTAGGTTCGTCCGAATTTTGGATGAAATCACTTGTACTGACAATGATGTTTAGCGGGCGACACACCGGTATTATATGATCTGTGTTTTGACGCATCCTTGCCGGCCACATCTCCAGGACCGAGGGATGACTCGCCGAATCAGATGGTTGAAGCCGGCGAGGAATTGCTGCGCCGAGCAAATGTGAGGCTTGACAGCATTGACACTGTTATCGGTAGGTTCATATTTCTTCTGGTCATGAATGTCATTACAACGACCACCTCCCTACAGCAGATGACCCCGGAGCACAATCTATGGATATCTTGGATGCCAACCAGGATTTAATTTCAGATTATCGGTATGCTCGTGATGAATTCCTCGCGGCCAGCGATGACATTGCCAAAATCGAACATCTGATGAACATGCACCGGCAAATTGATGATCCGCTGCATATATTACTACTAGCTATGAGGAAAATGGGCCGGGGACATTCCCCAATCCAGTAGTGTAGAAGACCGAGCAGGAATGACAATGTATATACCAAGTGCACCCAAAACCGAGCACCTGGACCGACAATGTTCTACACATACAATGTATATACTTAAATTTACCGAGCAGAATGGAACAACCTCATGACACAAGATGCTGCTGACAACTACACGTAGTCAGCATATCTCTTAGGCTTTTGCTGAATTCGGGTGCCAAGCGCATTGTTGACCTTGCTCCTGGTACTCTTTGCCGGTGCATCAGGAATTGAGCAAGCCGCCGATTTGGTGACCTTGGTTTTCTTGGCTGACCGGTCATTTATTGCCGGTGACCGCTCTCTTGGAGCTGTTGTCTTCTTCGGCGATCGGTTATTTACCGCCGGTAATACATCTCGGGCAGCCCTGGTCTTTTTCAGCATCTGGTCCAGCACCGCGGGGGATGTCCGAATATGTTCAAGACCTTGACGAGTTGAATGTGGGCCGAAGTCATGAACTTGCTGGGTGGTATGATGTGAGCGGGCTGGCTCATACCTGGCCTTCCTGCCAATATGGCTACAACTTTCATCTTCTGATCCCTCGGTCACCTGTGCAACGGGCATGCGGGTTTTGCCTGCTGCATAGGCCCCTCTGTCATGAGAGACCCGTCTGACCGAATCTATAATCGGTCGGTCTTCATATGCCGAGTCTGTTCAGGGTGAAATGATGGCAGGCTGAGTTCTGACTCTCTTGCCAATGCTCTTGGGTGCCGGTCGGTCATCTGACTCCGACGGGTGTCCCACCGGGTCACCTTGTGTTGCATTTGCACCTTTCCTTACACGGTAGGGTGCATGTTTGTGTACCTTCGGCAGAGGCACATCTGCATCAGTCTTGTCAGATTCTTCATCGGCGGAACTGACATGAGCTCATTTGATGAACATAGGCTGCGCTTTGTGAACTCCGACCGGTGATGGTGCAGCGGCGGCCGATGACTTTTTGGTTGGCATGGGCCACATGCCCTCATCATCAGCATCACCGTTAGAGTCATCAGACTCTTTGCTGACAGGAGCCCTCATCTTGCCCTTGTCGTCGATCCAGGCCTTGAACTTTAATGTGAGCCCTACCTGGTTGTCTTGTTGGTCTAACCAACATTCCAACAAGGCGTTGGCTTCATTCCGTTGCAATTTCGAAGGGTCCATGATCTTTGCGTCCTCAGGCAAGTATATGCTGGAGATAAATCTGGACTGTCCCTTCATTATGTCGCTCCAAGGCACTGGGACCTTCGGCTTTCCACAGCATATTCCTGTGGCGGTGGGCATCAGATGATGCTGCAGGTTTTCTATCAACAGGCTTACGGTAATGAATGGTGAGAAATGACCGAATCATTCCCTTCTTGGCGTCAAGAGACACGCCCTCAATATCGGGCAACATCGGCAAACCCATGCGGTCCAGGTCGAACTCATGGTAAGGCTTGGGAACCCGGCGAGTGCCTCCGAGCAGCGTGCCATCCTGGTCTTGATCCTGGTCTTAATGTACGTGACAAATTAAATGAAGCACCTCTGAGATGGTCTTGAGACTCACTGAATGCATCACCTATGAAATCTTCCCATGCCAGTAAGATGACCTGCCAGTCCTTGCATTTCATGAAGCTGGAGCCTATCCCGAGGTGTTCATTGAAGTCAAATCTGCCAAACCATGTAAGCAAAATGACCGACCGACCGACTGACCAACTGTATTAACTTGCCCGGATGTAAGTAGGCCGCCCTTCTCATCCTTCCAGGAACCCAATACAAAGAGTCTCATACCGGCCTGAGTAAACATCTCCTTTGCGAAGTGCTTGATCATCTTTTCACCCTTCTTCCTAGCCGTCTTGGCCTGGACTGCAGGGTCAGGTGCTTGATTTGTCCACTCGTTGGCCTTCGCCCGGGCTTCCTCCAACTCATTGTTGCCCAGCCCTTTCATGATTGCCGTCATAGTGGGTTGATACCTCCTGAAGATTTCTTTCTGCTCAGGCTTCTGCCCAGTCTCCTCCTCGATTTCTTCATGTATTTGCTGAAGAATGTCGGCCTTGCACTGCTCTTCAATTACTCGGTGTGCTGTCCATTTCTTTTGCAGCTTTATCGGCACTTTGGCATTGGGCTTGTGTTTCTTGTGGTTGTGGAACCACTGCCTGTATTTCTGTTTATGATGACTGTAAAGCAGCATGACCCTACATTAAAGCTGAAACACTTACCTCTTTTCATTGCTTCAAGAGCTCTTGGTCCATCTTTGGAGCCAAGAGTCTGGCTTCTCTGGCGGCCGCTTTGAAGATTTGTCGTCTCTCTGTCCCACTCGCTTTCCCCCAGTCCTCAACATGGGACTGCAGAGCGGTGTTCTCTCGGTTGTTCAACCGAGGCTGATCCCCAGCATTTATCTTCATCCAAGTCATGTCACAGTAGGTAGCTTGGAGTAAAGGACCTGGAAATGTAAGTGTAGGAGAGCGTTGATGTGGTTGATGGAACGAAAAATGAAAGGAAGCTCATGTGAGTAATGCTTCACATAAGTGACACACCCATGTCATAAGTGAATGTAAGGGCTAGATTGTGCTGAATAGTGTGAGCCCTATCGCTACAAGACTTATTGAGTGGTGTAGATGCATAGGTGGGTGGGTGGCATGAAATTGGAGGATCTGAAGTGCTCTTGACATATGATATAGACAAATCACTATCGGCCATTGGAATTGCGCCGTGAATATGCATGCCAATGATTTCCGAGAGATCAAAGTGACTATTACATACTAGGCATTGCATTTGGCAGTTGCATGTAAGCACTAAAACGTCCCAAAGTCTAAGCATCTCACTCCAAACAAGACATCCTGACACTCGCAGCACTACTTCGGTCCATGGTCAAGTCAAAGCCAAAGGCCTGGAGTCCTCCAAAGACATCCTCTTTGGTTCAATGGGAGAACAAAGGAACATCTAGAGGAGATACAGGACGATTTGTCAGAGCTCGACGTTACAACAAAACAACATCGGTTCATTCATCCTCCAGAAAATCGCCTACCAAGCAGCCATCCACCAAAGGACATCATGTGGAGGGCGACTATGAACACTATGACCTGGGCGAATGCAACTTCGAGCCTTTTTGTGTTCGCAAGTCCATGGCAAGTTGACCGTCCACTTGCCTTGTCCCATGTACTGACACCAAATATCAGAGTCAAAATGACTATTTGCGCGAGTGGCAGCGCAAGACCGAGGACTACTTGGACTTGCTACTTTGGTGAGAGGGTCCACCTCCAAACAGGATGTGCTCGGTCTGTCCAAAGGACGGAGTCTACAGATGTCACGGTTGCATGGGTGAACCTCTCTTCTGTACTCATTGCTGTAGGACAGTTCACAGCCTCATGCCTTTTCATCGGATCAGTCAATGGACCGGGGGATTCTTCGAGGGCACTTCCTTGACAAAGATAGGGTTGGAAGTCCACCTTGGCCACGCGGGCGAGCCTTGTCCCAGACTAACCGACGAGTGGTGCGATACAGATGATGAGGGAGACCAATTGACTGAAGGCCCATGGATACCCTTGGTTAACGATCCTCGGACGACCACGGTGGTAGATACTTCCGGGCTCCACTCCATGATGATCAGATTCTGTCAGTGCGCCGGTGCACTGAGCCATGACATGCAACTATTTAAGACCAGCCTCTTCCCTGCGTCTTTCACTTCGCCGAAGACAGCATTCACATTTGCGGTGTTGGACGACTTCCTGCTGGACAACCTGGAATGTGGGACATCGGCAATGAACTTCTACAGTAAATTAAGGCGAATCACCTCAAGCGTGTTTCCTCATTTGGTTCCAGTGAGTGATGTGGATTTTGAACATTGCATTGCTCACAATGGCCGAAAGGACCGGTACAGAGAGTTAATGAGGGTCGGCAGGCAGTGGAGACAAGTGAAGCAGCTCAAGTGGCATGGGTTTGGCCATGAGAAGCGACAGCCGAAGGCAGGGGAGCTTGCACTCTTCTGTCCTGCATGTCCTCAGCCCGGTGTAAATCTCAATTTGTCAGACAGAAATGAGTCCGACCCTGCATGGCTGTATTCCAGATTGTTAGTCATGGATGGCAATTTCAAGGCAGAGCATTTGTATCCCACCAATCCAAGTGATGAGGTGGCATTGACCGATGGCTTGGGCTTCATGGTCTGTGATGCCCAATACAAAATGCATCTATGCCAGGCGCAGGACATTATGCAAAGGTCAGACTGTAACAACCACCAAGCAGTCAACCAGGCAAATGCCTTGCGCCACAAGCTGGAAGCAACAGGGATAGGCGGATGTGCTTGTGCGAGGCACGGATGTTTTGTTCCTCATTCAATGGTAGACTTTCAGAAGGGGGAAAGGTTAGCCTTTCAAATTGCTATATCGGCCAGGTTCAACTGACAAGTCGGCTGGCCAAAGGCAGATGAACATGGATTATGCCCTGTGTCAAGCTCTGGGGTACAATACCGACGGGATCAATTGGGCATTCACATTCTATGACATTAATTGTCAATACAATAAGCATCTCAGCAAGCGGATTGAAGAGTCGCCTTATCTTGACCTTCCATGGGGCATGGACATTATTCCTGGAATTGGGCTGTGGCATGTCCACGGCCATCAAGATAAATGCTATGTGAGGTATGCGTCCAACTTCATAACCGGTGCCACCAGGATCAACGGAGAAATAATGGAGACCCTGTGGGCACCCTTGAACATCATATCACCATCGGCAAGAGGGATGTCCACCCCCCACCGAAAGGAGTGTTTAGACTTTCAAATGAATGACTGTAATTTTATGAAGATGATACGCATCAGTGAGTAATATTATTATACCGAGTTGACAAATCCAAATGCATCTAGGCAAATTCCTTGGCAGAAAATTCAAGGAGGCTGTGCAGGGTGTCTGAGACAGCCAGTATGCATTTGACCGGTTAAGCGAGACCGCCAAGGGTGATACGGTGTAGAAACAACAATACTGAGTTTGGCTATCCGAAGATTGTTCCAAACTGATATATCTGTGTTGTGGTCTTTGCACTGCCTAGTCTGCTATACTTGCCTGACAAGTGCGTTCGACCCAGGGATCTGCGGTCTGGGAATAGTCTTGGGGGTAAGTGAGTGATGTGGGGTCAATAGTCCGAGCGCGGGAAACAATGTCCGAAGGTATATTTACGATGTCCGATGCAAAAGCGTCGGGTCCGATGTTTTTGGGGTTTCGGGTTATCGGGTTCGGGTTCGGGTCTTTCGGAAACTAATAGTAACGCTATAGCGAGCATCGGAAGAGCGAGCGGTGTGCGCAATAATAACAATGACTGATACGGATAATGAAAGAGCGATGATATTCGCAATATCAACTAAGAACTACGAAATATCGGGTTTGACCACTAAGCGTCGGGGAACTGCTCCCCTCTACTTGGATAATGAATAATGCTTGAGGTCAGTCCAATATATATGTAAGTACGTAGAAATGCGGAACCCGTAGGCGAAAGTAGCGGCGGAGTATTTCGGATCCGAAGTACATGTAAATAAACATGAGGTGCTGCGGACTATGGGAAAACATGTAATAGCGCTGGCTACGACGTGAGCAATGTGCGAAATAATGAACTACACACCTAGTGGGGCTAGCAAGACAGGACGGGACACGGATAGGACAAGTGTGCGGGAAAACATCGGGTCCGATGCGGCCTAAACGTCGGGTTGGTGGGTTAGCGTCGGATAACATCGGGAAGTGATTAGCATGTGACGGGTATTTGACGTGTACTGTAAAATAGCTCGATACGAGCCCAGCGCCAGCTCGTGTCCTACAACGGTATACCCTTCACACATGGGAAGCGGAGGCCACTGCCGCTCAGGATGACCGACTTCATAATCCAAGTTCCATGGACATATATGAGGTTCAATTGACAAAATGTATGTTGATTGGAACATCAGTATTTAATATGCTGATATACTTTGGCAAAGCGCCAACAAGAAAACAGCAAGAGTTACACCTGCTGAACCGTCAGGCTCAATGGCCGGCCGGTGAGATTCATCGGGGTGCTGCTACTTGGCTAGCCTCCGGAATTACGCTGGAAGAGGCTCAAGTAGCCCTCCTGATCGACGTAAGAAAGCTAGGCAAACGGCCGACTGACACCCAGAAGCTGGCTGTGGCCCGGCGTTGTGACAGATTGCAAGGCCAACTGGATGAATTTGTCAGGGTTGCGGTGACATTTCTCAGCGATGAATTAAATGGCTGTGACCATTTGGATGGCATGACAGTGGTGTTGGATACAGTAGAAGCGGATTCCGTCGGGTCATCATCCGAGGATCCCGAGAGGTCAGATGATGAAGACCGATATGATATTCCGGTGAAGTTCAATCCCGAGACCGTGGTGATTCCATTGCTGTCAAACATCGGCATTGAAAGATGCACCCTGTGGGGTGTTGCCGACCTGGTGCTGCAAGAAATATCATTGAGAGAAGGCCAAGCAAATGATGCATTACATGCCGTCCGGGTCAACTTGGCCGACAAGGCCGTTCTGTTTCGCACCACGGTTCAGTCGGCAAAATCCCAAGCACGGTCAACCAGGGCATGGGCTCGGGTGCACTCAGTGGACAAGGTCCTACACCTAAACACGCAGATATACTCAAAATGCCGCAAGCAGCTAATCCATCTCGGTGCCGATGACTTATTGTCCAAATATCGGCTGTTGGAGAAAGCCGACCTCAAGGCAACCACAGTTGTTGCAGACCCAAACACGCGCGGTCAAAGAAATAGCACGTTAGCATGGTTTTGGAGCATTGATGTTGAGGGGGATTCTGCAAGCAATGACTGGATGAATGAATGTTTGCACTTCACCGACTTACCTGTTCCTGTGGGGTGCTAATATACTTACACAACAGTTTACCGTGTCCATTGGCTTAGGACACTGGCACTGCATGATCGTTGGGCGGAGGAGCTGCTGCTGGTCGGTCGGGAAATGACATGGATGGTTGAATTTTTTCTTCATAAATCTCAACAGTGGGTAGGCCGAATGCAGGAGGCTGATGTACAGTGCACGGTCGGGCACTGGTGCTATGCTGCCTGCCAGGCTCAAATGTATCTCCGACTCTCACAACATGCACAGGACAGCTTTGAACGAACAAAAGGTGTGGCTGCGGTTGTAGAGTGACAGGGGTCCATATGCGGCCGCAACTGCATTTGGACATCGGCAAGTGCCGAAGTGGATTAGTCAGTATCACAATACCGATCCAGATGAAACTTTTTGATCCAAACTACCACCAGCATGTCCAACTCCTCCACACTCCATACATTTGAACTCAGTGACTTTACTGCATGGGATGCTGCAAACGTCTTAGAGTTTGCCACTGCCCGATTCGCTGCCATCTAGCTAGTTTGCGACCAGAACCATATACCTCAGACACCAGATTACAAAGCCAGCTTCGTCCGGCACCTTCAATGGGAGGCTGATGTGAGTGTCTCATCAATCAGTCTGCCGGTTGGTTGGTCAGTTGGTCAGTTGGTCGGTTGGTCGGTTGGTCGGTTGGTCGGTTGGTCGGTTGGTCGGTTGGTCGGTTGGTCGGTTGGTCGGTCAGCCGACATTATGTTGTAACTAATGCCTTTATCAGTGTTTTGTTTTCCCATACATAAACATTTCTTTAGTCCTTAACATTCATCCAACAATGCCCGATCTCCTCCACGCCATCATTGGAAGACTTGCCAGATTCCAAACCGGGACAATCACCGCCGAACAATTGCACGATGAATTCTTCGCACACTGCTCTCCGAATAGCCCTGAACTAAGGGCTATTAACCAAGTTGTGCCTAACTACTGGTATGATTGGTGGAAGGATCGCTTCGACCGGTTGGGGTTGGACCTGCCAGTCTTGAACATCCATGAGGTCATGGAGATGACCCAAGACCACTTCGAACAACTGGTCGGTTATTGCTCTCTTTCTCATGCTGGACTTGCACTTATGGTAATCGTTAGCCGACGGGAGCCATGCTTGTGCCTGGTCCTGTGGTGACCGGGCAGGTGGATGGCGATGCCCTCTTCAATCAAATCGTGGCAGTGAGAGCCCACCTCAAACATCTCGGTGAAGCAATGGGTGCTTTGCTGGACCAGAAGACCCAGGCCGCCACTGCAGCTGCATCCACCATGTCCCAACTTGAGGGACCGATTGCCGACCTGGAGGAAGCGCTTTTGAATTCTAGTGGGCAATTGTCGGGCAAGGATTGACTTCACATGGCTTGTGCTGCTCTTTCACCGATGTTAATTTTACTGTGATCACCGGCATTGTGGACATCATTACTAAATAGACATAGGTAGTGTTGTGGGCAGAACTCTGCCATTCTGCCACGTGGCAGGGCAGAACTGGCACTGCCAGGCAGATGGCAGAACCTCCCGGGCAGAATGTGGCAGAACTCCCGCACATGCTGAACCGTGGGAGAATGTACTATATAGTTTAGTGGGTTGGACCTTGGTTCAGTGTATGATAGTATAGATTGAGGCACTTTAAAACTGTTTACAATGGCCACCAAGTCTGGAGGCCGGCCTCTGAACACCCTCATCGAAAGCAACTTCAAAAAGGGTGATGCTACTTCTGCCAAGTCCAACAGATACTGGTGGAATTGCAACCATTGTGATGTCCGCATTGACGGACGTAATAATAACCTTTTCGAACACCTCACAAATGCCGTAAAATGCAGTAATTGTCCACAAGAGACTCGTTGCGAGGCACTGCAACACCTGATGAAGAAACCCACAGGCGGAAAGGTGGCTTTAATGGCTACGGCTATTTTGGGTGATGACGAGGGAAGCAAGGGTTCTTCTTCAAGCCCATTGGTTGTTGAGTCTGGCGCAGCTGCCCCTGTTTGCAAGCGGAAGAAGACAACCCTAGATGGCTTTGTAGATCATCCATTGAACAAAGATCAGAAAGCCCGTGCTGATATCAGGCTTCTTCGGTGAGTACTAGTAGCACTAGTGTTATATTGTGATTGGCACTAACTCAATAACTTAATCCAATTATAGATTTTTCATTCATGCAAATGTACCATTCTACGCTGGCAGAGATTTTTATTTTCACCAGTTTCTCAACGAAATCAGGCCCTCATATACAGCCCCATCACGCTATGTATTATCTCACAACCTACTCGATAGCGAAGCTGCAAGAGTCAAACTGGAAGAAGTTGATAGACTTAAGGCCCGAAGACTGCTCACTCTACTTCTTGACAGGTGGGAGGATAAATTGAGGCGGAGTCTCTATGGGTCTCTTGCTGCTGAGGTAAAGCAACACCCTGTTATCTTGGCTCTTGAGGATATGACAGGTGTGCGAGGAACAGCTGATAACCTTGTGGCCACATCGGAGAAAGCAATGAAGGCCATGGAGATTGAAGATGGAAAAAGATTCATAGCTGTGACCACCAATAATCCAACTGTTATGCAGTCATTCCGTCGAAAATTTCAACATAAATTTTATTGGGTGCTCGTAAGTGTGTATATTTCATTGTGAGCCGGTTGTTGATCATCACATAGACATTTGCATGCTTCTTGCATAGCATGAATACACTTCTCGGTGAAATTTTCTCGCATGGCCCAATGAAGAAAATCCTTTCAAAGACAACTCGCATCGTTAACTTCTTCAATTCTTCGCACTTTTGGGGTGGGCAACTTAACGACAAAGCAAAGAAACTTGGTATTACTCACAAACTGAAGCAAAACTGCGAAACTCGTTTCTATGCTCTTATCCTTCAGTGCCTCAGTGTTCTTGAGCATCAGTACGTGAAATGATTATCCTAGTACTGAATTATTTGACTCATTTGTTACATATAGACATGCATTATCTCATATTTGTCTGCGCCCTGAAGCCCAAAGGAGAATTAACGGTCAAACTCCTGTCGCTGCAGATGTCATCGAGACTGTTATACGCACTCCGGACTATTGGAACCATCTTGACCAAATGGTGAGGACAGCAAAGTTCATCGTTGACGCCATTGGAAACATCAAGAATTGAGACTGCAACCTTGCAGAGTGCATGCTTGAACTCATTCGGTGCGCACACAGGATGTCAACACTACAACTTGAGGATGGTGACAACACGGAATTCTTCACTCATGCGAAGTCAGTCTTCAACCGTCGATTCTACTCAATCAATACAAAATATCACACTCTCGCCCTATTCCTCCACCCGATGTGTCATAAACTTGCTGTTACTCAGGCAGCAAGTGGCCGTCCATTCGAATTCATGGTCAAAGTGGCATTGGAAATTGCCCTGCAGTGGAAGTGGAGTAAAGCAAAGGCCGACACGCTAGTTGCAGACCTTAAAGCTTATAATCTCTGCCACGCACCATTTGCTGGTGGCCAGGCGGACGGACTAGCTTGGTGGGAGAATCTCCCAGTCAACTCTGACACACACCCACTAAAGGGTTTCGCGATTATCATTCTGTCCATCGTCCCACATGCAGCCGAGGTTGAACGGCTTTTTTCAGACCTTGGTGGCACACAGTCTCCAAAGTGCTGCAATCTTTCTGTCGGCACATTCAAAACACTTGGCAAAGTTCGCGCCAACCTTCATTATCATATCCACCTTAAAAATGTTGCTGATGGCAAGCCAACACAACGTTGTCACGCTCATATGCACACAAGCGAACTTCCAGGCATTGATACAGACATTGCCAAGCAGCTTGAAACCAACTTCGCATTTGTCCCTCCACTTTCAGCAGTCTCCGGTGATAATCTCGAAGGTCCTGAATCGATCTCACTCAATGACATTGATGCTGAGTTTTCTCGTCTTGAAGATATTCGTAACACGGAGAAAACGATGGAGTTTGCCTCAAACTGGGATGTGGATGGGAAGGAAGTGTTGGAAGGGAGAGCATTCGACTTTGCGGAACTGCGGCGCGTCGACGAGGGATTGGTGCCTACCACAATAGAGGATGAGATTATGGTCGCAGATCATGATGCGAATGAAGTTGGGACTTGGAATATTGATTCTATGTTGCTGTCAAGCGGTCTTACATCCATGTAGTTAGTACTCTAGCGCTATGGAATTCTGCCATCTCCCACGCTGGCAGAACATGGTTCTGCCAGGTTCTGCCAGTTCTGCCGGCAGAACTCCCTTCATTTAGTTCTGCCCACAGCACTAGACATAGGTAGTATTGCCGAATTTACGTTGATTCTCTAAATGTATATAGTATTACTCAATGAATCTCGGTCATGTCCCATATAAGCTGACAAGTTATTATGCCTGTTGTTCTGCCTCCGCAGATGATTCCAATTCCTATTGACTGGGCATTGCATACAACATGCATTGCTGGTGACTTTGTGCACCAGCTCTTTGCTGATCATGTCGGTCGCCGGCAACAGTCGGTCTTGCCTCCACTGACATTGGATGTGCCGACCATGCTTGCATGTCAGCAGTTGGCCCGAGTTCTTGCCGATGCTTATTTAAACCCAAGTGAGTTATTCCTTGATATTGTCAGTGTTTTGCCAACTGCGTGGCAGTTCAGCTTGATATAGACATGATTCAGTATAATGAGGCACTTAACAAACACTCCACCGGGCAGATCACAAAACATGAAGAGGCTCTACTCCAAAGATTTCCTTATCGTTCTGAACAATTGCTCGACAAGCCCTCAGTGCTCGTTGATTCTGGCGGTTGTATCATCTTATGGTACCTTCCAGATGCCATCAGCCCGTGGATTCAAGTAAGCCCCATGCATTGTTCCTTGTCGGTTGACATTTAGACTGACCGATCAGGCCGACATGGAAGACGCCACCATCGGCATGGGTCATCTTCTGAAGAGAAGCATCACCAGGGGAGAAGAGACCCAATGGCGAACTTTCCCTGGGTATTTCCATAAGAGTGACCGACGCCCATTAACCCCAGGATGCATCAACATAGCTCCTTGCTGGTTCCAGCAAGGCCGAGAGGTGAGGTCTGGTTGTTCCACTATGATCTATTTACTCACTCAGCTGTTCCAGCCGCATGGTTTTCCTCCCAACGGTGTGTTCTCCCCCGAGGTGTCGGCTGCATTGAAGGGCAAAGGTGGTCCTACAGTCATAACATCCATGCAGCGCTCAGCACTCCTGGCTTCGGCAGCTCTTTGGGTGATGCATCCAGAGTTGTATTGGGCCTCGGTTACCACGCATATAAAACTTGCTCGGTGGGCCATGGACAACAGTCACAATGACATATACACTCGTCTGCAACTTTGGGCCTCGGTCTTCAACTGCACAGCCGTCATTTGTAACAGGCAATGCCCTCTTCACCGAGATCCAAGATCTGCTCCCAAAGGGTTCAACATCATGACCAGTGTCAGCCACTATTGTGATGGGCTGATGACCCTGTCCAACCTCGGTATACAGTTGCGATATAAGTCTGGTGCCATTGTTGCTTGCTCTGGACACCTTGTCAGGCATGGAGTCACATGTACCGGTGATCGCATCGTGTGGGCATGGTTCATGCGCGATAGCCTTCACAACTTTGTGGGGACACCCCGGCCACAGTATGCGAAATATATGGATGTTGATCGTCATGTCTCGGTTCCAGCCTAGTCGGACATGCGATCACATATAATAGTATATTACAGTTACATTGAACTTTGTAGATGGTTCCTTTACAAGGTTGAAAATTAATTTGAATTCATGTTGTTGAATCCGCTAGATCATCTTTCCTGGAGACCGACCGACCAACCGTGCTGATGTGTGCCCACCGATGCGCATGGGAGACCTGCTCCACGCCAGCTCACCTGATAGAATGAGATGGTGCTCCTGATCGGCCCACAAGACTTCATCAGGCGTCCATTCCGTTCGGCCAACCTGATGGCGTAGGGGCACTTTATGTCTATCGGCCCACCTGATTGCATCGGCCTTTCATTCTTATCGGCCCACCTGATTTCATCTGGAATTTGTTTCCCTCGGCCCAATCGACGGTCTCAATTCTATCGGCCCACCTGAGAGCATCGGCCTTTCATTCATATCGGCCCACCTGGTTACATCGGGAATTCGTTTCCATAGGCCCAACCAACGGTTGCGATTCTGTCGGCCGACCTGATTCTGTCGGCCGTTCATTGTTATCCGCCCACCTGAGAGCATCGGGAATCGCTTCAATCGGCCCAACCAATGCTATCAGTTCCATCGGCCCACCCAATTATGTCGGGCCATTCATTGTTATCTGCCCACCTGAGAGCATCGGAAATTTGTCTTTATCGGCCAAACCAATGCTATCAGTTCCATCAGCCCACCCGATTGCATCGGCTATTCATTGTGATCGGCCCACCTGATGGCCTCATACCCAGTATTGCCGGACCGATACGCACAAGCAATGTGTTCCATATGGGCCTATTGATATGCACCGGAAATATCTTCTACATCGGCCCACATGATGGCTTCATGCCAACCTTTGGCATCGGCTGACCGGTGCACACAGCAACTATTTGCTACATGGGCCCAGATGACAGTATCACACTGCGCCGCCTTTGTTTCCTGGACGCCGGCCGACATGTTAATATTGAGCATCACGATTTATAGGCCCAGCTGTTAAAATCATCTGTCAGTGAGCCAGCCAGCCGAACGTTAGACTCGGGCAGACACATTCAATCGGCCGATATCCGCTAGCCTGTGTGGAACAGTATATTTTCAACCTCGGCTGTCTGTATAACACGGACTATGTGACTGAATGGGCTCTAAGAAGACAAAAAAAACGACTACTGCTGGCTTGCCTTATATCTGGTCGACCAATATTTGTGGACCATTGTTCAACCGGCGATGTGGATTGATGTGCACGCGGTTGTGGACCTGCAATTCAAATATTAAATATTCAACTCCGGCGACGCGTCCCATAAAACGCGCACGTGATCCTGAGCTCTTAGTACTTCGTCCGCTTCACTCAAGTCACTATAATCTCTTTCAACAATCACCATCACCATGATCTCAGCGAAGACCAAGATGCATCCGACCCCTCATTTCCGCCAGGAGGGAGATAGGCCTCAGAAATAACCGGCATAATTAGCCGTCAAGAAACAGATTTGTGCGCTCAATACATCAATACTGCCAACTGCGACTGCTTGTCATCTAGATTACGCAGTTCATCACGACCTTAGTTCTCCTTTCTTGGGACAGCCCCAAACCATGTACGGGGGAATTCGGAGACTTGGTGCGTACGCACCGCTACGATAAAGAGAAGTCACAGTTTACAGTTGAACATATCCGAATCACGAGCCAACTTCAGCACAGACCGCCGCGGCTATCTATCTCTCGTCAAAGGAGTCTGAACTCACTCCTTTGTCGAAGCAGACGAAGGGTAGTAGCCTGGATCCGGAGACTGGCGACATCTGTAAGACCCATGCTACAGCGTTAGATAGCGATGAAAAACACAGTCGGTCACATAAGTATTTACTATCGTAAGCTTTCCATAGCGAGGTGAGCACGAGAGACAGAAAAGCCTGTATTACAGAAAGGAAAATCGGCACATGTTGCCGTTAACTCCTACTGATTTGAAAGAAAAAGTACAACAAACCACACATAAGCGAAAACAAAAACGAGTGCATGCAAATGTATAAATACACACAAAAGCGGACCGGGACGAAAAAATGTCCGGAAATCTTTCGAGAGCACGCCAGCGCACTGCAAATAATAAATAATCATTGCAGGGGCTTAACCCATTGCGTGTCCATAGTTGACGCTCTCGCTGAGGTGCTCATTGGCGGGATTATACGTGAATCCCTTAAACTGCTCTTGCACGGTAGACGAAAGAGCAGAGTCCTCAACAACAGAGTCTTGAGGGTCTTCGTTAGTGAAGTCCGGGTCGAAATTAGCCACATCGAGTACGGATTCCTAAAAGTACGTTTTGCTTAGTATAACAGAGAAGAACACGATCATAGTTACTCACAACACTTGGTTTGAACGGTGGTTGAATCTTTTTGTGTAGCAGCCTAGCGTGATTCATGAGTGACGCACAGATAGTCAAAAAAAAGGGATACGTGCCTGTTCCAGTCAACATATTTGGCAAAGAAAGGATGTCGCTTGATCTCTTCACCGCCATTTGCTCCCAGACGTCGGGCAGGATCACGCTGAAGGAGACCGATCATGACACTCCTGGCCTCTGATGGCATATCCGAAGGAAATACAAGTGGGTCACTGAGGATGCGTTGGTACATCACGTTGACATTCTCGTCATAGAAAGGGGGTAATCCCGTCTGTACATTTGATCGAGTCATGGTCAGAGGCAAATGTTTCGAAGGGCGCACCATCATTTCGTAGAGCAGGACTCCGAGCGTCCACCAGTCAACTGTCTTCGTGTACCCCTGGCTCTCGAGTAGCTCTGGAGCAATGTACTCCGGTGTGCCACAGAATGCTATGTCGACCGGTTAAATTGTTCCATGAAGATCAAAATCATTCTCACTGTTTGTTTTCTCTGTCTCTGACATGTTGAGCTTACAAAGACCTGACCAGACGACAATCAGCACATCAGCCCCCAGATTGTGATGTACCTACCAAAATCACAAAGAGCGATATGACCTGTGTAATCGAGTAATATATTTTCAGGCTTCAGGTCGCTATGGGACCGTTAGTAAAATGGCACAGCTACCCGCATTAGGAACGCACCGGTAAACTACGTTAAATCCGTGTAAATGCTCGAGTGCACATAGAAGTTCTGCGGCGTAAAATCGGCTGCGATCCTGATCAAATTTACCTTCCCTCTGCAGATGATAGAATAGTTCGCCGCCATTGACTGCGCAGACATAAGTTGCCACCAACTTAGTAAAGATAAAATACTCACCGAATGACATTACGAGGTATAACTTGTCAGGATTTTGGAAAGAGAATTTGAGTGGCACGATAAACGGATTGTTGACCAGTGCCAGTACCGTCCGCTCAGCCAATATGTGTGTGATTTCGCCGGGGCGTGATGCGATATGGGCTTTTCGAATCGTCTTGAGAGCATATATCCGCTGCGTATCCTTTTTGCGCACTTGCATCACTTTACCGAAGCTCCCTTTGCCAATCACTTTCAACAAATCGAATGCATCAATAGTCAAAGACTCGTTCCTTATTGGTTTGTAGTCGATTTTGAGGTGAAACGAGCCAGTGCCAGCGGTGGCAATGTACCATTGATCTGAAGCATGCTGAATGCAAAGTGCGATGTTCAGGGGACATTATGGTCACAAACAACTGAACTTACATGTCCATCAAGTACAGGAGTAAGATCTACACGAGCCATGAGCAGGTCGTTACCCATATCTTCTTGGCTGTGTACAGCAGCGGCGGTTCGAAGATATGACGAGACTGATATTGTCGATGTGCGGGACACATCACTAGTGACATAGACGATCAGAGATGCCAGAGTCATCGCGCATAAACCACACACAAGTCTGCCCGGTACGACCACACAGGGTTAGTTAGATCTCCGCCCATGGCGTCTACCAGAACTTGATTGTTGTCGAACTCAAGGACAACATATGGAAGCCACCACAATCGCCTCCTCTGCATGCTTTCGCGGTTGCTTGCTGATCTTCGTGCAGGTGGGTTGTCAAGCGCTTTTTGGATGACCTCTGGGACATGCACGCCAGGTGCTAAGGAGAGACCGCGCCCTGTATATGTATGACATCAGAGTGCATTCAGAAAAGTACTTTCCAGAGGTCTGCCTTACCAGAGAAGATACGAATCGTAAGCATACCAGATCGAAGGTGAGCTTGCTGGTCGATAGCACCAGGAGGCTTGGGAGTTGTGGGCCGCGACGGTATCGGGGTGACGGATCGTGAGACGACGCCATTCTCTTTGGCATCCTTCAAGTTGGACTCTGTGTGGTAGTCAGGACATGAACTCCCATGGAAAGCAGTGACCGGTGGATGGGAGATCAGCAAAGGGGTCCGGCGCGCATGAACTTACTTTTGGAGGTGCCTAATTTCCAGGACATGTTGGATGTAAGGAAACAAGGTTGAATAAACTGGGAGCTATTTGGTTTGTGAGAAGGCGCAGTACGAGCGGTGATGTCGGTCTGGCGACTCTAGTAGGCTATGAGTTATGTGGCTCAAGATAAGATGTTATACATAAGCAGAAGCTCGGAACAGCCTAGTTCTGATCAATATATCAATATTAAAGGCCTCGATTTCTTTCTATTTGTTTTCACTGTACGCAATGATGTGGTCGCCGTTAGATACCCTCCGTCACAGCATTCACAATATTAATACTGTTCTTCTCATGACGAGTCAGCACTGGTTTGGGCATCACTGCCTGCGGGTGCCCGACGTTGATCATCATGACATTGCCCCACGCCATGAGGTAATGTGGGTATATATACCGTGAGCAGTGTCGTAACAGTAAGAAGGACTTTTAAAGGCAAATAGGTATGATCCTCGGACAACAAACATGGATACTCTACACGCGACGAATCTTATGAAAGTAAGACGGCTTTAGCCCAAAGCCTTCTTCGCTGTCCCTGATTTGCTCATTTGGTATATGACACAATTCGAGGTGTCTGATGAGATCCGTCCATCAACAGATGGGTCATCACGTTTCAAGTCCCTGTATCGTAGAACATCAATTGATTCAGGTAGTTGTCGTGAAACAAGGCTCCAGTCAGGAATAGCGTCAACCTCTTCCGCTTTCAGAACTGTTGCGGACTGGCCGTGAGGGTCCCTTCGAGTCTGCTGTAGCCTGGCTGTCCGATGTTCATTGTAATCCTGCTTGAGCATGTCAAATCCATCAATTATGTCCGTCATGTCAGTGCCGAGCTTCCGTAGCTCGACGGCACCCGCGCACTCGGCCTGGAACATGTGTAATGCTTGAGCGTTGATGCCCCTGGTGACGTTCTGAAGCGACATAGGTCAGGGGAGGAAAGGCATCTCTTTCCACACATACGTACTTTTGATCGAATGAACGGATCTACGACAGAAATGGGATAACTTTCTAACATTGTCCTCGAATCCACATCCGGACCGAGAAACGTTGACCAACTATTGTGGGGTTCGGATCGAGGGCCTCGGGAGTCATAGTCAGGTTGCGTAGCTTCTTCGAAATGCGGAACGCGGGGGAAAATGCCTCCCCGCTTGATGTCTATCACATGGCGCGAGAATTGAAATTGAGCCCAGAACCTGAGCCATAAAGTCTCAGTTACGAGATGGATGCCCCCCCAGCCGTCCCTCACCTGAACCATTGCTCTACGAGGTTGTCCAGGGCATCAATGTGTGGTGCTACCCACGTCGTGGGCTTGCAATATCGTGTGTCACAAGGTATCCGCTTGGACGAGTTTGATGGCCGCATCCAAAAAAGGTGCTCGTTGGATTCCATTGGCTGAAGGCCAGCTTGTAGTTTCGGCGCCAAGTCCCGAGTCTCTTAGACATTAAGGTTCCAATGATCCCGTCGACGTAATACAGACCGCACCTGGAGCCATCCAATCGTCATAAGCACCAATGCATAAGAATTGAAAGTTCGGATTGCTTCGGAGACAGAGGGTTGATTAAGGTCCCTTGGACGAGCCCATTGTTTGATGGCAGATATCAAACAACGAAGGTTGGGCACAATATCGCAGTATGTCTTGATAAGGCCAGTGTTCATCAATCCCAGCCTCTCGTTTACATTTACGTCGATGTGAAGCCCAGATGCAGGATCAGTGAACTTTACTGGAAATCGAGATGGAGAGTGAGGAGCCCGAAACAACCTTCCCAATTCGTGGTGACGAACCAATGGGAACCTGGGCCCAAGGAACTGCTTCAACACCAGTGAAACCTGCATGTCGCATGATCCGAGCAAGTTTTCTGTCATTTGATCAGCTCCGCTGGCATTGGCTCGTGATGTGTAGTAATGTTACCTAGTATTATAGATGGCTTTTATGTGTTAGGATTCTTGATACCTCAGTTGTACGAATCGAACGTACGAGGTAGATGCTTCATGTCTATCTCCGGAGAAAAACCTTGTGGCCAATTGGTATCCTGCCAGCAATCAACAAGAATATGAGTGGCTAGTTGATTGCTAATAAGTTACAACTCACAAGCACAACAAGATCCAGGTCTCCACGTCCTATTCTTGGCAGGACTGGCATCGCCATATACACTGAGCTTCCATAGGGCTGCACATCGTATCCCGGTCCATATTTGTATTGGATGACATGTCTAACTTTGCGAATTAACTTGTCTCTTGTATTAGTTCTCTCGTTACTCCAACTTGGACTAATGCCGTAGTTGGTGCCATTCAGTGGGAACTCTGACGACAACCAGAGTTAATGCGGAAAAGGAGACGGCGAGTTCGCTAGACACACCGATTTTAATGTTCTTGGTATGACTGACCTATCATACACAGCAGAGAGTCAGCCGATGAAGATGTAGATTTGGAAGACAAATTACATTTTGGGGGTTATACTCGACCGTTTCCCCATTTTGAGCAAATGGAGCAATTGTATGCGTACCGCGGAAAAACTGACCCGCACCACACGGTCGACTGGGTTCCAAAGGCTTGGGACTAGTTACGATGCCGCCACTGCAGACAATCCTTCTTCGCGCTATCTTCGTACGCTGGGGAATACGATGCAAGTTGACACCAGATGCACATGCAGCATGATTATGTGGTCGTGCTAAAGAGGCGAATGCAGTAGAGACGATAAGTGAACCCACATGAATACTGATAAATGGATTCGGGACTGCCAAGTGATATAACCTCAGGCTGCAGGGTTCCGGCTGATGCTGGGGAGTGACGGTGTGTAGAATCAGCTGTGTCAGATAGTTCTTGCTTGGCACGATGCGCGGAGCCATAGAACAAGTGCTAACTGCAAATATCGAGCATGTGCATGAGCTTGGATAATGTACCGATGAATAATGATTTAACAAAAAAAACGTTGATGTAAAAATAGAATTGAACTCCACCAATTCCGGATGCATTAGAGGGAATCGAACCCCCGGCGGGTCGATGGCAACGACCCAGGTTACCACTACCCCATTAATGCGATGAAGCGCCTGACGACGTATGTCATTGTAATCATAGTAGTACATGGTTAGTAATTACAGGAATCCACCACTTTGTTTAGATTGACGTTCTTAAAATGAAGAGACGGTTTGGCTGTATCCCCCATTGCTCCTGAACTGTGCTACAACCCGTCCACCATAATTCACTATCACATCTCTCTCCCTGCCTGCAACATTCTGATCCACGATGAAGGTTGCTGTCGTCAACCTGCCATCATTCCACGCAAAGTCGAGGGTGATCCCCCCACGTATGCGCGCGCCCTTCATTTCTCCAGTCGACCATGTGAGAGGGAGAGCAGGTAGAAGTGTAACCTGGAGTGGAACGTTGATATTCGCGATATCAGGGGCTTGTAGCAGTGCATTCTATCGGTTCGAATTTAAGGTTCAGCTGCAGATTTCCTAGACAAAATGACTTCAACATCTTACCAAAACAGCAGCAGGATACCCCAAATTCGCATCGATCTGGAAAATTCCATCAGACGAGTACATGGAAAAGAGGTTGGGCGCAAAATTTCTCTCGATGGTGTGCTGCACTGGATTAGCATTGGCGGCATGATATAACCGCCAGTTCTTACAGTAAGTTCTTTGTAAAATTCAGTCTCGTTGGCAAGCTGCGCCCACGCCGCAGCCCTCCAAACTTTCTCCCATCCTGCATCCGCATCAGGGCCTCTTCCGATACCTCTATGGAACAGACTGGTTTCCGCAGCGTTCAAAATTTGTTCTTTGGTATAGCGCGTGAAAGTCCCGTTGACAATTAGACCACCTTGTAACTCAGGGGAATAAGATGCTATCGCATAACCGGGGTATAACTAGTGAAGGTTGTAAGCTGGAGATATTAGATGAGTGAAACGAGGGCTTACGCCAATCAGATGACTAAGATGCCTGTGAGTGTCGTCCGGCATATCCATGTCGACTTTCCACTCTGAATATAGTGTCAATATATCGCGCATATACAGGAGGCAAGACAGCAACCTTGCAGTTGACCCCACCGTCCGATACGCAGCCCTTTATCCATCTGCTGCCGTTTGGAAATAACCGCTGTGCATACCATGAGCAAGGGGCAAGACGAACGGTGGACAGTCTCGCACCATCTAGAAATGCAGTGTCGGTATCACCAGCTGCCTCGAAACCGTTCTCGATTATATTGAACAGCTGCCATATCAGCTGCTGAGCATGTGCGCAACCTGGCCGATGGTAAGCAATGATCAAAAGTTTTCATAGTCTAGCTGACCAAGAGTAATAGGGACTTGCTCTGGTGAATTGCAAGGTGCGGTAACAAGAGTCAAATCGTTGAAGTGCAAGTCCTCGATGAGCTTCTGTAGATGAAAGCTGGCAACAGCCTGTACAAAATTCAGCTAATTGTAGCTTCCAAAAGTCCCATAATGGAGCACCTTGACGAGCGGCCATCCTTGTGTCTTCCACCATTGTACATCATTGGTGTGATCAAAATGATCCCATGCATGTATCATCTATGATGAAATCAATTAAGCCCGCTCCAGACCCAACAGAGAATACGTACCATCCACGCATTGGATTCTGAGGACATAAACATGGGCATTTATTCAATAAGAAAATAAGAAGGGTCATTGTACCTGGATAATTGGCCCATTGAGCAGAGTTCCCGCCAAGCTTCATACCAGTATGGCCAAAGATCTGTTGGAAAAGTTCATGCATTCAATTCTACAACAAGTCCTCTGCAAACGCACGTTCATTTCACCGTGTGTCACAAATCCTTCGCTAATGTTGTACAGAACCTGAGCAGTGTACGCTCCGCGGGGTCCCCACGTGTTCTGCAGAAAACAAGGGGTCAGCTTCAGTCAAGTGTGAGGCATATCAGAAAGCCGATTACCTCAATATAGTCAAAGAGTGACTGAGTCACATCTAGATTAGATATCTCGGCGGCCCAATAGTTCATTTGGATGTTGATATTGGAATCTAGTAGTGAAATAAGGATACTTTC